CATGGCACCCCAGCCTGGACCCCATCCCCCTAGCAGCCCTCGCTCTCGGGAGCACTTGGATGATGGGATGGGGAGCCAGGGATCCCAGCGGGTTCCTCAGCACRCGGCTCTGCCGGTGGCCGGACCCGTCTCCTTGGTCTCTCTGGTGACACCGCTTTCCTCTTGGCGTTTTCCCCGCTCTAGATCTGGGCCTCGGGGGCCGGGGCCACCCACAGCCCCCCCAGCGACCTGGTGTGGAAGTCGCAGAGCAGCTGGGGCTCAGGGGAGAGCCTGCGCACGGCGCTCATCAACTCCAGCGGCGAGGTGAGTCCTGTGGCGCAGCCCCACCGCCCTGTCCCACCGCCGTGTCCCACCGCGCTCACCCCCGGTGTCCCCTCCAGGAAGTGGCCATGCGCAAGCTGGTCCGCACCGTGATCATCAACGACGAAGACGAGGATGACGAGGATGACGAGGTCAGCATCCACCACCGCCATCACCACGTGAGTGCCCGCGCGGCCGGGCCCCGCGCTTGGGTCGCTTGTAGGGAGGCCGGTTCCGAGCTCCCGACTGGCGCTTCTGGCTCATTCCCACCGCTTGGATTGGGGTGGGAGGCAGCTTGGCGCCRCGCGGGATCAAACCCAATGGGAGCAAGCCCCCACACGGAAGGAGACAGTAGGCTTGGGAAAAGCTCCTGGAGAAGACACCTGCTTGCCACGAGGGCTCTGCAGACCTTGCTGGGGGCRGATGGGGCAAGCTGAAAGCATCTCCCACCCAGAAGGACCTTGAGTCCTTCTCCTTGAGTGTGACAAGGCGGAGGAGCAGGGAGGAAGCCGAGCAGGAACCCGCGAATCCTGCCTGGAGCTGGAGGACAGGGCAAGACCGGGGGAAAACGCTCCCCAACAGCGGTTGCTGCCGCCCGCCTCCTTGCCGGCCAGAAACACTCCTCRTGCAGGGGAGCATCCCGGGCTGCAGCACCGGGAGCTCAATCCCGCGGCTCCTCCTGGGGCAGGGCGCTTCTCCGGCGGGACTGGTGCGCCCTGCACGCCCGTGCCCGAATGCTGCCGAGAGACCTGCCCGCTCCCTGAGGAGCAGGAGCTGCGTGCGAGGCAGAGGATCCGCCTTCCTTCTGACTGCTCTGGATGCGGAGCTCCATCATATCCCAAGAGGGATAGTGATTGGGAAGGAGCCAGGCTCCCGCAGCCGGCGCTGCCTGTTTGTCAGGGCGCTGAGTCCTTTCCCGGAGCGAGTTTCCCGCCGGGAAGCAGGAGCCGGAGGGAGGTGGACCCTTGAGCGGAGCTGGGGAGGAGGATGCTGACGATGAGCGCGGACACAAAGTGGCAGAGCAGGGGAAGAGCTCGGCCAGGCCGCGGTGCCCAGGGCAGGAGGCATCGGGCAGCAGACGCTCGGGCAGGTGCTCAGGCCCCTTTTTGTGTGTTTTTCCCCCCGTTTAGGCCAGCTGCGGCGGCTCTGGCGACCCCGGCGAGTACAACCTGCGCTCGCGCACCGTGGTGTGCGGCACCTGCGGGCAGCCGGCCGACAAGGCCGGCAGCCAGAACGCCGGCATGGGCACCATGTCCTCAGGATCCTCCACCTCCAGCGTGACCGTCACCCGCAGCTACCGCAGCGTCGGCGGCACCGGCGGCGGCAGCAGCGGCCTGGGGGACAACCTGGGCACCAGGTCCTACATCCTGGGCAGCTCCAGCCCCCGTAGGCAGGTTAGTGCCGTTCCCAGGCCCTGCAGAGCCCTGCCTAAAGACTCTTCTTGCTCTGCTTGGTCCTTATTCTCCTGGTCTTGCATCGTCCCTGCTCCACCAGCCAACGCAGCAGCTGTCTCTTCACAATCCCTCTTTTCTCCTGGGCATCTGCTGACATGACCAAGGTCTACGAAGTCTACAGGGTCTATAACGTCTACAGGGTCCACAAGGTTTAGAAGGTCTACAGGGTCTGTAAGA